CCTCCTGTATATTATGAGAAGCTTGAGCTCGCAGGGGCCAGTGGCTGTTTTGTCCGACTAAGGCAATCATGTCCGGCAGAGGCAAAGGAGGGAAGGGGCTTGGCAAAGGGGGCGCCAAGCGCCACCGCAAGGTCCTGAGAGACAACATCCAGGGCATCACCAAGCCCGCCATCCGGCGTCTCGCTCGGCGCGGAGGAGTCAAGCGGATCTCCGGTCTCATCTACGAGGAGACCCGGGGTGTGCTGAAGGTGTTCCTGGAGAACGTCATCCGGGACGCCGTCACCTACACGGAGCACGCCAAGCGCAAGACCGTCACCGCGATGGACGTGGTGTACGCCCTCAAGCGCCAGGGGCGCACCCTCTACGGCTTCGGAGGCTAAGCCGCCATCGCAGCCCTGTGCGTATCCACCCCAAAGGCCCTTTTTAGGGCCACCCACACGGCCATCGGAGGAGCTGGACACTTATGCATGTTGGGGGTTGCAGCGGCAGAGTAGGGAAGCGGTTTCCTACGTTTTGAGGCTATCGCCGGTTCTCAGATTTATTGTAGTTACCGTGTTCAGCCTTATCTACCGTAAGGTACGTCGCTTGCCAAAAGCGGCCTTCCTTGCATTACTGACGCACAAGGTTAATGTGATTTAAAAAGGCAGGGGCAGGCTACGCTAGTTTCGATGTTTAGTCGGATAAAACTGGGAAGCACTTACAGGTATGCTGTCCAGAGATGTCAGTTCTGCCACCTGATTTGCTTGAGCACCGTTAAGCTTCCTGGTTTGTTTTCCATCTCTACGATAAATCCGCCGGATGCCTTAAGGCCTGCTCTTGGGTAGTGTTTTATGGTTTGCCTCTAAACTTCCATTAAAGGTGTGCGAGCTTACAAAGTCAAACCCAACCAGCCATTCAAAAGAAACGGGGTACTAGGTTTGGGTTGCGCTCCTTGGTACAATCTTGAATGTTTCTAGCAAGTTTTCTGGCCAATGCAGGGGTATTCCTGTTTTCCTGTGTTTAATAAGGCCCCTCTAGGGACCAGCAGTTAGCGTAATGGCTGTGTCGCTGAACTCCCATGTAGCTGACCGCGGTTCCAGTCCCGGACCCGGTGGTTTAAACTGACGCCAGGCGTGTGTGCGTGTGTGTCCAAGATCCCGAGAGAATGGATTGCAGCGAGGCCATGCCCCCTGGGGTGTGATTTCTCGCTTTCTATCTCTCTGTCTCTGGGGAGTGCACACGCCCTATAGTAAAAACCTCTCCCAAAATTAAAAAAATAAATAAAAATTAATAAAAAATAAAGCCCCTCTAATTAAGAACCTATAATACTTTCAGTTGTAACCCGTTGCGAGGGTGCAGGTGCAGCAATATTTCAGTGTGATCCTCCTATAAAAACAGCAAACCATCTATGGTCTTACCTAAGTAAAAGCAAGTTCAAAAAACAGTTCAGGTATGTGACTTTTACCTGTTAGGCATGTTGCAGCATGGAACGAGATTCCTGCAGGAACATGCCTGCCATCAACACAGCAAACACATTTTTTTAAGGCAAAGCAAAAGAAAATGTCAGCATAGCAAAGAATATAGTAAGTTGTTCTCTATACTGCCACTTTTTTTGAAAGAGTTATTTTATTCATTCATTCATTCGTTTTATTTGGCGAAAGAGAGAAAGCAAGCAACCAGGTCCAGGACTCAAACCGTGGTTGCTCTTGTGGGAATGTCCAGCGCCTTAACCACCACACCACCTGCTGACTCCCAATATACTGCCACTTTTTATAAACTGCCCTGAGTGGGTTAAAATGTCTACACTTCACATTCTCTTTTTTTTTTTTTTTTTTTTTTTTTTTTTTTTTTGAGAGGTTTTTGCTATAGGGCACGTGTGTTCACCAGAAAGACAGAGAGAGACAGAGAGATAGAAAGCGAGAAATCACCCCCCGGGGGGATGATCACACCACAATCCCTTCTCCATTCTCCTCTCGGGATCTTGGGCACGCACGCACACGTGCCCAGTGTGAGTTTTAAGCCACTGGGTCTGGGACGCGAACCGCGGTCGACTACATGGGAGTCCAGCGACATAGCCATTACACTAACTGCTGGTTCCCATATTCTTTTTTTTAAAAAAAGGAATTATTTTATTTAACTTTATTCTAGTTTGATCAGAGAGGGACAGAGAGAAAAAGCAAGCTGCCAGGTCCAGGACTTGAGCTGAGGACAGCCATGTGAGAGTCCAGTTAACCACTATGCCACCTGCTGGCCCCTACACTTCAAATTCTTAAATTTAAGAGTTTTGCAGCTATTTCATTTGCGTGTTAATGGTTTTTTGTTTTTGTTTTTTTTTTTTTCCCTAAGCTTACAATTTTTTTTTTTTGGAGAGTTTTTTTTTCTTTTTTGCTATAGGGCGTGTGCGCTCGCCAGACAGACAGAGACAGAGACAGAAAGCGAGAAATCACCCCCCAGGGGAGATGGTCACACCACAATCCCTTCTCCATTCTCCTCTCAGGATCTTGGGCACGCATGCACACGCGCCCGGCGTGAGTTTTAAGTCACTGGGTCCGGGACACAAACCGTGGTCGACTATGTGGGAGTCCAGAGACATAGCCATTACGCTAACTGCTGGTTCCCAGCTTACAATTTTATAGTGAAATTTGGCTACATGTGTAATTAATAAATTCTGTCAGCAGTCAAAATGTAAACCAGATATTGTGGGTCTTCACCAATAGATCTTCATAGTTGACTACTCTCATCAGAGGGTGAACTATGTTTAAAACATGGTTCTTAGGGGCCAGCCAGTGGTGTGTTGATTAAGGCTTAAGACGCTGCATTCTCATGTGGCCAACTGCAGTGTGAGTCCTGGACCTGGTGGCTTGAAAATCAGGCCGGCATGCCCAAAATCCCAAAGAGAGACTGGAGATGGGATTGAAGAGAGGGGATTGCAGTGTGGCCATCTGCCCTGGGGAGGTGATTTCTCACTTTCCCTTTTTCTCTCTCTCCAGGGAGTATATACGTCCTATGACAAAATTGAAACAAAAACATGGTGTTTAGCAATGGAGATGCACAAGGCAAGGAGCAAGACCTTTCCTCCAGGATCTTGCCATCAGAAAGAAAGAAGATAAATACTTTTATGCATATGAGGTAGTCTTCAAAACGTTTGTGGATATGCCGGGTGCGTGTGCAAGAGTGCCCAAGATCCTGAGAGGAGAAGAGGAAAAGGGATTGCGGCGTGGCCATCTCCCCTGGGGGGGTGATTTCTCGCTTTCTGTCTCACTGTCTCTCTATGTCTTTCTGGTGAGCTCATGTGCCCTATAGCAAAAAACAAACAAGCAAACAAACAAAACTCTCAAAAAAAAAATGTTTGTGGAAAATATGTATTAAAATATGTATTATAAAAAATTGCATGTGGGGCCGGCAGGTGGCATGGTGGTTGAGGGCACTGGACTTCCCATGTGGCCGACCATGGTTCAAATCCTGGACCTGGCGGGTTGGC